TATAAGAAGTGATCAATAATTATTCATTAAACTGAATCAATACTTTCAAAATAAAGTTTGCCTATATCACTTAAGAACTAATATTTATATTTTAAAACTACTTTATCAGAAAAAAATTTAAAAAGAGAAACATTTAAAAGAACAATTCAACAGTATTTCAACCAGCTGAAGAAAATTTTGTTTTGTTTTTTAGTCGTTTTTTTCCTATACCTAGGATTTTGGTTTAAAAACAAATGTTAATCATTGTACATACAACCATGTATTCTGCTTTCTTATAATCATTTTCTGAGTTGTTGCGTTTTTATTTTTAAAGCTACATAATGGTGCATGCCTGCCACATAGTGAGCATTTAAAAAATTAATGAACGATTGACAAATACTAAGAATAAATAAAATATTTACTGTTTTAATAGGTAAGGAATGAAATCATCTTTGATATTTGAAGCTTGCATTACTTTGCTACTGAAAATAAATACATTTTGTTTAACTATTTTCTCTTGTGACTTTCTTATCAAATATTTTGTCCATTGATCTATTGGAACCTTGATTTTAAAGAAATCATTGTAATTACAGTTAATAGCAGCATTTTTGTGATTTTTGTACCTAAAATAGATGTCATCAAATTAAACAGTTAGCAAAATGATTTTGTTTGTTTGTTTGTTTTTTGCTTTTTTTTTTTTAACTTTTGTAGCAAAATGATTTGTAATGAGACAAGAACAGGAAGAGATCATTATTTGTTCCAATAGTAGATGATGCCATCTAGTGGGAAAACTTACTTTGACTTATATAAGCAGATTAAACGTTTCCAAATTTCAGTACCCCCAATTGGTGTTTATGGAATTTTGTCAAAATACGCTGTCTAGCTCCTCTTCTGCCTGGAGACTGGAGACTGGTGACTTGCTTTGTGTGTATGATAGGCCAAGAATTGTGTTTTGATGGTATCCCTATTGGAAACTATCAAAATTTCAGCTAATTGTCAATTTAGCAACCCGAGATACACTGTTTGCCATTTTTATCAGAATTTACACAAAGTTCACTAAGTTTGTTGCTGATAGCATTCTTCAAATGTGTAGTCTGTGTCAGCTCCTGTACTAACGGCTTCATCTGTGTTGTTTTGTTCCGTTTGCTCAAAACTAAAAGGTCCATGGCTCTTCTTATCTTCTTTTACACGTGAGGAGATTGAGGGGGAGCATTAGCTAACTTCCCCCAAGGTCGCACAGTTCATACTGTAATTGAGCCTGGAACCTAACAAGTGATTATGTGTGCCCAGGCCTAGGTGACAGGAAAGGTCATAGTCATGTGAACAGTGAAAAGGGACTGACATCTGAAGCAACAAGTCCAGTCCTGCAGGCGACGCTGTCACCTCTATTTAGTTAAGTACAGCAAACCGAGTCCTCTTCCTTCGCTAAGGAGGGCTGCTTAGGGACATTTTGCTATGATACTTGGCAACCTAATACGCACATAGTTTGAACTATTTCAGTCACACATTCAGATACTACTTAAATATTAGTTGTTGATTTTTTGGTGTTATAAACACAAGGATGTTTTCAATACTTTTCTGTTACTCTCTGTTCTTCCCCCAAAAGAAGGCAAAGTAAACCAATCTGCCTGAAACCTTCTATGTGGAGGCAAACGGACACTAATTTATTTATAAGTTGTTAGAAAACCCAGCTGATAGGGATCAGTCAGTCAGGCTGAAGCTAAGAAAATTCACTTGAAGCATGGGTGCCTGACCCTGCCCCACCAGGGCCAACAGCTGGGTCCATTCAGTGCTGGCTGAAGTCAAAAAGATCTACTTCCCTCTACCTGAAACATACCCTAGCGTTCACCTTCTCCCTCGGGGCCAAAGGATCAGCTAACTTCAACTAAAAAATTAATTCCTGCTACTTCTTTAGTAGGAAACAGCATGCAGGTAACACAGGAACAACCCTAACAACTGTTCCATTCTCTAGTCCATTAGCAACGCTAATAATGAAAAGCTCTGAATGTCAAAGATTCTCTGTCAGGAGGGAGGGCTGGCTACCACTGGCTTTCATTATCTCTTAAGCATCCACCTGCCCAGAGAAGTTTCCTTTTCAGTACTCTATTCAGTACCCAAGCCTTAAGAAATCTTATGAGCATCAAATGATATTCTGGGTTCTTTTAAATAGGATGAACAAATAACATAAACACTTCCCCAGTGACTATTACATTGTTGAGTGGAGGAGAAAATCGAAAACACAAATTTGTATTTGTACCTGTATATCCCACACTCTCTCCCAGGAACTCAAGGTATGAAATGATAAAGCCAGCCAATAATCAGCAAAACAAAGGGGAAAAAAACCTATGTCTGACAATGAATCTTTGAGTATGTAGAACTAGGAAGAATAGATAAAACAAAAATAACAATAGATAAGATGAATTTGCACACTTTTTAAGATGGTGACTGCATACACTATCACATTTAACTCCTACCTTGAGAGGAATTCACAAAATAGTTATAATTATTAATCTTCCTGCATATGCAAGGAAGTGTTGTTAAGTCATTTGCTGGAATTATCCAGCTAGTAAACTGTGGACATAGAACCAAACTGTGGGGTGCCAAGAGCCAAAGTTCTCACCTAATACACTATAAGAAAAATACCTAACATGCCTCACTTCTTTGGAGAGCTGGAGGCAAACCTGGATTCAAAAAGCCACTGCCTGGACTGGCCATTTGTCTCATGCACATCAGCCGATTACACAGTTACTGAGATTCCTTGACCATCAAGCTCATCTATAGAAGTAAGGTTTGGTTTTTTTTAATTAATTAATTTATTTGAAAGGCAGAGTTACAGAAAGGCAGAGGCAGAGAGAGGGGTCTTCCATTCGCTGGTTCATTCCCCAGGTGGCTGTAACAGCTGCAGCTGTGCTGATCCGAATCCAGGAGCCAGGAACTTCTTCTGGGTCTCCCACGTGAGTGCAGGGGCCTAACGACTTGAGCCATCTTCTAATGCTTTCCCAGGCCATAGAAGAGAGCTGGATCGGAAGTGGAGCAGCTGGGACTTGAACTGGCACCCATATGGGGATGCAGGCACAGCGCCAGCCCCAGAAGGAAGTTTTATATTATTAAGAAATTGAGTTCAGGGGATGGCACTGTGGCATAGAGGGTTAAGCCACCATTTACAGCACGGGCTTCCCATATGGTCGCCAGTTCAAGTCCTAGCTGCTCCACTCCACTTCTGATCCAGCTCTCTGCTATGGCCTGGGAAAGCAGCAGAAGACAGCCCAAGTGCTTGGGCCCCTGCACCCACATGGGAGACCCGGATGAAGTTCCTGGCTTCCTGGATTTGGCCTGGTCTACCCCTGGCTCTTGTGGCTGTTTGGGGAGTGAACCCGCAGATAGAAGATCTCTTTCTCTCTCTCTCTCTCTTTTTCTGTAATTCTGACTTTCAAATAAATAAATAAATCTTAACCCAAAGAGTAAGGAAAATACTTTGAAAATATTTCTCTCTGTTAAAAAAGAAATTGAGTTCACAACAATGTGTCACCTGCCATTACCTGCAGCAGCTGAAGCCTTTACCCTGACGCATTTCTACTTCAAAGCCCTAAAGTTTCCAAAGCACCTGGTGTCTTTCAAAGTTGTTTTCCATCACATTCCAGGCAAGAGATGCAATCACTGGTCACCCTGAACTGGCCAAACCCTACCGCAAAAATGACATCTACACAGGGATTGCCCAAGAAGGGTTCAAAGGTCATTGTTTGCTTCCTTTTAGTGCTAAGACCTCCACCCCAGGAGGAGCTTAAGGCTCATGCCGTAACAAGCAATGTACGTAAGAGCATGCTTCCAAACGGTGCAAGCGCAGGCTTATACCCCACCGTGTGTAACCACAAAACATTTCCTCTTGAATAGTCATTCCCCACCCCAAATCAGAGGTACCTGCTTTCCTTGCGTAGGGAGCCACAGCTTTTGAAATGATTCCCCGTGGTCTCTTTTGCTGCACACAGAGATTACTCTGCATGACTCCTCCCAGTGCAGCTTCTGATTCCCACTCATCAGGAAGTGAACCCACTTTGGGTTAGGTAACAGCTGGTCCCACTGCAAGAGTCCTAAGCCCTTCCTTTCAGGTTAAGTGTTGCTTTTTAAATTAATTTATTAATTAATTTTCATTTTATTTGAAAGGCAGAGAGACAGATCTTCCATCCTTTGTTTCAATTCCTAAATGCCAACAACCAGAATTGGGCCAGGTTGAAGGCAATAGGCTGGAACTCCATCTGACTCTCCCATGTGGGTGGCAGGGACCCATCATCTGCTACCTGTTAACGTGCATTAGCAGGAGGCTACAACTGGAAACTGAGGTGGGACTTGAACGCAGGCCCTTAAATATGGGATGCAGGAGGGGCCGGCGCTGTGGTGCAGTGGGTTACCACCCTGGCCTGAACCGCTAGCATCCCATATGAGCGCCGGTTCTAGTCCTGGCTGCTCCTCTTCCAACTCAGCTCTCTGCTATGGCCTGGGAAAGCAGTGAAAGATGGCTCAAGTCCTTGGGCCCCTACACCCACGTGGAAGACCCGGAAGAGGCTCCTGGCTCCTGGCTTCGGATCGGCGCAGCTCCGGACATTGCAGCCATCTGGGGAGTGAACCATCAGATGGAAGACCTCTCTCTCTTGCCTCTCCTCTCTCTGTGTACCCCTGACTTTCAAGTAAGTAAATAAATCTTTAAAATAATGATAATAAAAATATGGGATGCAGGAGTCCCAAGTGCCAAATGCCAGCCTCTTAAACTTTCTTATTTTATGATAAAAAAGAGAAAGCCAAACAGGTTACAGAAACTAGAAAGTAAGGATTTACATCAAACCAATTAACTGGCAATACATCCAATCTGAGTGTCTTTGCACTCTCAGGTGGAGATAACACGTAACTCCAACCTTAATACTGTGGACCCCACTTAAGCCACGTGACCTCAGCGCAGCGGTCGCTCGAGGCCTCTGGGTCCAGGCGGCGGCCCTGAGCGGCCCCGGAACCAAAGCGCCAGCCTCCGCCGGCGCCCGGGCAGCGTTTCCCCGCGCACCGGAGGGTAAGGTCTGGCCTGCGGGGCTTGAGCGGCCGGGACGCCGCGCGGCTGGCGGAGGGCGCGCGAGCAGGGGTCGCCGGCAGCCGGAGGATGCTTAGTGGAGCACGCGGCAGGCTCGCCTCAGCGCTGCGGGCGTCGGGGGTCGGCCGTAGGTGCCTGCACGCGACTGGGTCGCGGCCCTCGGCAGATCGGAGCGAGCGGGCGGGGCAGCCGCCCAGCGCCTTCGACCCGGCGCTGCTGGAGTTCCTGGTGTGCCCCCTGTCCAAGAAGCCGCTCAGGTGAGAGTGCCCGGCGTCGGGCTTCCCTCCGCCGCCTGCTGTGGCGGGGAGCGGGCAGGGGGAGCGTGCGGCCTCCCAGAGCCGCTGCGGCGCGGGGGGGCGGCGTTCGGGTCAGCCCAAGTAGTCTCCGCTGCCGTTTTCCGGAGGCCGGAGCGGGGCCGAGTCCCACACCCGCCACATCGAATCGCCGGCCGCAGGCCGGGGTCGGAGCCTTTTTGGGGGTCCGCCACTGGCACCGGCGCGATGCGCTCAGCGGGCGGATTCCGGGACGCCCCCCCCCCCCGGCCCAGCCCCAGGCGTGCGGCGAGGCCTGGACAAAGGTCCCGCGGCGATTGGAGGAGTAAGAGTGACAAGTCCAAGGCATTCAGGTTTCTAAGCCAAGACGACGGCGCCGCGCCCTGCGCTGCTGACGCCTGACAGTCTTGCGCCTGAGCCGCGTGTGCTGCCTAGTGGCTCGCTCAGTTTCGGGCTAGCTGGTTTCTGCAAAAGCCGCTTTAAGCCTAGACCCAGTTCTTGGGGACACAGCGCTACAGTTCCAGGCTATTAAAACTGAATATGGACAAAACTAGTATTTCCTACGACACAAACTAAACACTGAAGTGTTGCCAGTGGTGGTGGCGTTTGGTGCCGCGCCCACGGCCAGCTTGGGACACCACATCCTGAATCGGAGTTCCTGTCTGAGTGCCTGGGTCAAGTCCTGTCTCCCCTGGATTCCAGCTTCCTGCCAATGTGCACCTGGGAGGCTCAAGTACCTGGGCCTCTGCCACCCATGAGGGAGACCCGGATCGAGGTCCGGCTTAGCCGGGCCTAGTCCTGGCTGCTGAGGCTGATCAGGGAGTGAGCAAGTGAATGAAGATGGCGCTCCCTGTACCCCGCCCCCCATCTGCCTTTCAAATAAATAAAAACAAATTTTAAGAAAATGTTCTCTCTGGTTATCTTTGGGTGGTACATTGCTAGCAAGTTTACTTTCGTATTTTCTAGTCTGTTTCTCTGTAGTGCACAGTCCATTTTAACCCTTGAAATTCCCATTTGATCTGCCTTTCAGCTCACTGATAGCTCCCTGCACACTCACTGGTTTCCAGTTTGTTTCTGCCTTCTCCTCTTTCTCAATTTTTAATTTTGCATATTTTTATTTTTTCAGTGATTCCTTTCTAATAGATCAGTTAAGTTTCTTTCTTTAGGATTCTGAAATTGAGAAAGTTGAGTTTTTCTCTACTTTCTGTTCCAGTAGTTAAGTAGACTGGTTTTGGAGTTCACCAAAGTAATGGGGAAATATTTGGGTAAAAGGAGAGCTTTTGTTACTGGTATTAAAAAAGTTAAGTTATAACTGGAGAATAAAGTGAACAAGAGCATCAGAGAGAAATTGACTAGAAAGGAGACGGTTATAGGGTCTAAGAATTTTCTAAGGGAAATAATTGAACTGGCTGTTGCTAGAGATTACTCTGGGATTAATACTGTGTCGAGAATGGGGAGTGAGGTTACTTATTGAGCGTCAGGCTCTCCCTGGCATTTTGTTTTCCACAGCTCACTTTATCCTTTTTCCCCCTCTCAGATATGAAGCGTCAACAAATGAATTAATTAATGAAGAGCTGGGAATAGCCTATCCAATCATTGATGGAATTCCTAATATGATACCACAGGCAGCAAGGATGACCCATCAAGATAAGAAGCAAGAAGAAACGGAGCAGCACTAGACCATAATTTTTAAAAACCACAACACTAACTGTTCTCAATACCATATCCGTTTTAAAACAAGGTGGCAGGGGTTAAGTGGGAGAAGAGAATGTTTCTGTCTCTTCCTACACTGACCGTCCTTATCCCACTAATTTCTCTCGCAGGTCTTTTCTACGCGGCCTCTGTGGAAGAAAACTTCCCACAGGGCTGCACCAGCTCCACCAGCTTATGCTTCTACAGCTTGCTCCTGCCCATTACCATACCAGTGTATGTGTTCTTCCACCTCTGGACTTGGATGGGGATTAAACTCTTCAGGCATAACTAAGGGAGCCAGAGCCAAGGTGGTGTGTAGATTCATGATATGTCTAGGGCATCCACCTCCGCAAGCTCAACTAGGTGGAAATGCTGGAGACACACTGCGTTTGCAGGAAGGATGCTTTGCCTCGCTTCTCAGGATTGGGCCTACGAGAGACAAGCTGCAGAAGTGTCTTTTATTGTACTCTAATTCTGACAGCCCTTGTGTTTCGAAGGTTCTGACTTAACTGCTGTGTAGAAGGAACCTTGTAACAGAGTGTCTTGTTGGAAGGTAACAACCCTAATGCACATCTGGTGACCACTTCTTACCCCATTCATCTAAAAGTTAGCCATTTGTAATTCTGTTTAGCTTCAAGCTTGTTGGTAAAGTGACATGGTAGGGATGACAGAAATAATCTCAAAGGACCTGTGTTGATGTAGTTATAGAGAAATGCATTTAAACTGGTGTGACATAAAACTGTATAATAAACTGGAAATTTCATTTACTTAAAAATCCTTAGTTTGTAAAATCACCTGCATTTCTTTGGTTCAAATGCTTATAACTAATAAAATACTTTCCCACAAAAAACAGTTTGCAGGAATTTTTGCTTTGTCAAAAGAATATGTTATTAAGGGAGGGAAATTGAAGATGCTCTGAATGTATGCTGTTTACAGAGGCACTTAACACACGAAGTAGTCATTTTCTGGGACAGTGGGGCCCTCTGGTGGGTAGGGATGGAGTAGGAGGACTTCAAATAGCTGATTGTGTCCTGTTGAGTGTAGAGCCATGTTTTGAGCCACATTTAAATTTTTTTTCCTGCCTTTGGAGGTCTGTTTAGCATTCCTAAGGCCATAGGCATTTGACATTAACAGATCCTGATTTTCCAGAATTTCCAAGATGATTGAATTCAGTATAGTATTTCAGGAGTATAGCATAAATATTTCAGTAGTTACCCTAAAGTAACCTAAAAACGAATATTAATTGATTCCTATTAGAATCTTAGAGTCATTTAGGAGATGTTTTGGACAGTGATTCTGATCTATTAAAAGGAAATTAAAACATGATAGTGATATATTTTCTTTTTGCATTAATTCAGTGTATGCTATAGTACAAATCATTTTAAAAACAACCCTAAATCTCGTACATTTTTAACCAACTAGGAACTCTGGTTGGTTTAAATGAAATATTTATTATTTATTTATTATTTGAAAGAGTTACACAGAGGAGAGACAGTGAGAGAGAGGTCTTCCATCTGATGGTTCACTCCCCAATTGGCTGCAAAGGCCAGAGCTGCGCTGATCCGAAGCCAGGAGCCAGGAGCCTCCTCCGGGTCTCCCATGCGGGTGCAGGGGCCCAAGGACTTGGGACATCCTCTACTGCTTTCCCAGGCCATAGCAGAGAGCTGGATCGAAAGTGGAGCAGCCAGGTATCGAACCAGCGCCCATACCAGATGCGGGTGCTTCAGGCCAGTGTGTACCACAGTGCCGGCCCCTGAAAAACTTTTTCTGATAACATAAGCACTGTGGGATACATGTCTGGTGCAACAGAGTTAAGACACCACTTAGCAACACTGCCATCTCATATTGAAGTGCCTGGGTTTGAGTCCTGGCTCTGCTAATTCCAGCTTCCTGCTCATGTGTACCCCAGAAGGCAATAAGTGATGGCTCAAGTTGTTGGATCTCTGCTGCCCACCGTGGGAGATTCAGATTAGAGTTCCAGGCTCCTGCCTTTAGCATGGCCCAACCCAGGCTGTTGTGGGCATTTGGAGGAGTGAACCAGTGAACGGGAGATCTCTTTCAAATAAAATTAAATGAAATTAACAAGAAGCAAGCTCTGTATTCTGAGAAGCTAATTTCAGCTTTTGGAGTTAAGTGTCTTAGCATTTTAACTTACGGAAAACTGACAAACATGTCCCTGAGGGGGTTCAGTATTTCACTCCATTCTCTCCCTTGTAGAATATATCCAGCCATCACTTGTACAGTTCACGCTACACCACGTACAGTTCTAAGCATATTCATATACTCATCTTTACTCCCATGGCCTAAGGGCCAGGTGATGCTGGCACCATTTTACAGATGAGGAAACAAGCAGAGATGAAGTGACTGATCATGGTGACAGAGGCGGAAACAGGCAGAGATGGATGACTGACCACGGTAACAGTCGGTAATGATTGAAATGTAAACCATCTGGTCACCTAGCTTCGGTCTGCTTCTCTAACCACTGTAACCTGCTCCTTCATTTTGAGCAAACTCTTCCTTTCTGTTTACAAGAAGAACAGGAGCAGGAGTTAAAATGTGTAGGTTCTACCTAGGCAAGACAGGATTAGGTGCCCCACTGACTTCACCACCATTTGCTGAATTCACCTGAGGCTTAGCTTAGCCCAGAGCTGGCACCTGCTTCCTGAGTGAGCACATGGCTCCCCCAAGCCACTTCACCTCTCCACACCTCACCTTTAGGGCTAGAAATCCTTCCCCTGCTTCTTTTATAAAACTGGAGGATGAAACTAAGTTTGATAGGTGAAATTCCTTGGTAAAGAACCAAGTGAAACTGATGGCAGTGTGCTGGCCAATCAGGAGCTCTACAGACCTTTTCCCTAGTGAGACAAACCCACCAGGAGAAAATTGTAAAACAACCTTTTTAAATCTCCAGAAATTGTCCTGAGGGCATACAGCAATCAAAACAGTCCAGAAAATCTACAGTAAAAAGGGTGAGTTTGTGGCTCTTGAACCCCCAACCAGCCACTTTCCACACTCAGCTCACAGTGGTGGCCACTCCACAAGGGTGTAGCCACCAACAGAAGGCTTGCTTTTCCCCCCAGCCTCTGGGTGAGGTGGTATTTCCTGGTATGTGTAGCTCCTGGAATAGTAAATGCAATTTCTTCCCCTTTCTTAACTGGCAGCACAATTATAGAAAACAGAATAACAACAATTGTATTTGGGGGCCTATAATGTGTAAGGGAGTCTTCAAAAAGTTCATGGGAAATGTGTATTATAAAAACTACTTACAATGCCAATTTTTTTTGCACCAGAATAAGCATATATTTTAATTCTATCTTCCATGAGTGTTTTGAAGTACCCTCACATAGAACATATTTATTGTAACAGTACATAGGACATGGATTAAGCAGAGCTGTATTTAGAATAGAGAAATGATACTAGATGGTAACTTGAATTTACAGGAACACATGTAAAGATAAATAATGAAGATAATATAGCTAATGATATATACAGTACTTGTTCCCTTTTCTTCTTTCAGTTTCTTTCACAGACATCAAATTACATATTGCTGGGTTTGTAATAGAGGTAATATGCATGGCAATAATAGCACATAAAAGAGGTGAAAGGGAATACAGATATATAATAATAGTGTTTCACTGCCTTACTGTCACACTTGTGAACAAATGTGCAGTGTTAAAAGATCTTTTAGCTCCTGGTGAGACTATAAAATGCTGAAACTTCTTTGTAAAACAGTTGATAATCCCTAAAAGATTAAACATGGAGTTACTATGTGACCCCACAATTCCACTCCTAGGCATATACCATTCACCCAAGAGAAATGAAAACTTATGTCCACACAAACATTTTTAGAAGCAAATGTTCACATAAGCATAATCCATAATAGTAAAAAAAATTTTTAATGAAAGGTAGAAACAACACAATTGTTTGTCACTTGATGCATGTTAGATAAAATGTGGTATGAACACCATGAAATTTGGAAATAAAAAAGGATTGAGTACTGATCTATGCAGCAACATAGATGAAATTTGAAAATGTTATGCTAAGTTAAGAAGCTGGTTTTCAAAGATCACAAATCGTTTGATCTCTTTTACATGAAATGTCCCTAATAGGTTAATTTATGGGGATGGATAGCAGATTAGTGGGTACCCAGGGCTGGAGATGGAGATATGGCTACAAGGCACAGGTTTTCTCTTTGGGTAATGAAAGTCTAAAATTGATTGTGGTGCTGGTTGTACACTTCTGTGCATATACTAACACTCATTCAGTTGCATATTGTACATGGCTGAATGAGAGTAATCCCCCCTAGTCTGTGGGGCACACATCTGAAACCTCCAGTGGATACCTGAACCACAGAGAGGGCCTGCTATGGTGTGGATGTGGTCTGACTGTCCTATTAAGGTTCAGATGTCAGCAGCTTGGTTCCCAGGGTGACCATGTGAGAGGTGGTAAAACTATGAAGAAATGGGTCCTACTGGAAAGTCACTGGGGGCGCTGTCCTTGGAAGAATTAAGGTGGTTAGAGTTCATGAGAAGGTTGTTCTAAGAGAGCAAGCCTGACCCTTCCCACTCTGGCTCCCTGTCTGGCATCGTGTTCTCCCGCTCCTTCACCACTCTTGATCTTGTGATGTTATCTGAGCGGAACCAACTTTGATGCAATGTCCTAGAAACCTCCAAAACTGGGAGCTAAAGAAGCCTCTTTCCTTTATACGTTTCCCAGTATTTGGGTATAGCAACAGAAAACTAAGACAGTAGCAAACTTTCTACATACTACATTTTCTCTTATACGTACATAACCCATGATATAGTTTATTCCTTAAGCAAGGAGATAAACAATAATAAAATAGGTAACTATATTATAATGAAAGTTATGTGAATGTGAACTCTCTCTTGAAACAGTCAAGACAAATACTCATATTTTTGCACTGAGTTGACCGTGAGTAACTGAAACAGCAGAAAGTGAAACCAAGGATGAGGGAGGCCGCCATGTGTGCATG